CGGCATATGTGGTGTAAAATCCGTGTAAATAAACTCATAAAGGATTTACCAGCCGCCTAAAAAGGACCAAAATGTATAATCAGCCTAAGCCATAATATTGGTCTATAAATAAAAATGCATACTTACGTAGCAAAAATGCCACGATATTGTATCCAATCGATTGCTTTATAAACCCGAACAATACCCTGACTTATATATATATACATATATATATATAGAGAATTATATATAGAGAATTACTATATGGCACCTTAAGGGGCTATGTACTAAACGGCACGTGATACAACCCCAGCCCCCAGCCCCACCCACTGTGGAACCCCACACCCACACACACTCCCCACCCTGCCTACCACTAGGTCCACAGAATGCAGTTAAAATTTTACTCACCGACCAATCTCGATCCCACCCCTATGCCCCTCCCCACACTCCCATAGTCCAAGTAATTTTTTATTAAATGTTAACCAACTTCTTAGTAGTTCTATATATAGTTAAAATTTAACTCATCGACGACCAATCTCGGTCCCACCCCTGTGCCCCGTCCCCCACTCCCATTGTCCGAGTAATTTTTTTAATTAATGTTGCCCAACTTTTCAACATATATATACATGTGTTGTTCCCCCATCCCGTAACCAACTGCATATCCCAATCTGATTTTTTGGATATGAGGGAGAGGCGGTGGGTCAGTGGTGACGGGCGTCTGCGGGCACGGCATCGGCAAGTGGGAGGTGGATCTAGCACGGCACGGCTGCGAGCGCAGTGGTGACAGGCGACTATGGACGCGCATCGGCAGGCGGGAGGCGTGGCGGCACCACCTCTCCCGTCGAGCGGCAGAGGGCGTGGCGTCGGCGGATCTGGCACAGCACATTTGCGGGCGCAGCAGTGACGGGCGACTGTGGGCGGGAGGCGCGGCGACTCCACCTCCACCACCGAGCGGCGGCGGGCGCGGTGGCGGCAGATCCGGCATGGCCTGGCTGTGGGTGCGGCGGCGACGGGCGACTGCGGGGGTGGGGGGGGAGGGGGGTGGCGAGGAGGCGGCGCATCCGGCTGCCGCTCCGTGCCCCACGTGCGCGGATCCTGTTGCGGTGGAGCGTATCCAAGCATGGATGCGGGCGGCGCAACGGAGGATGCGGAGTGGATCCTGCACGGGTGACGGCGAGCGCGGCTGTGACAGGCGGGAGGCGAGGCTACGGTGGATCGGGCCACCACTCCGCCCCCACGCGCACGACGTGACCTCCGCGGCGGCGAGCTCGGACTCCGATGGATATGGAGGAACAGCTGCGGCCACCTCCACGACGCGCCGCCGTCGATGTCCGGAGCAAGTGCCAATTAAAATTTAACTTATGCTTATAGATTGTGAGGATGTATATGTTGAGTAAAAAATTTTTTGTCATACCAAGTTAATTTTTTACTCAGGAAGGATACCAAGTTAATTTTTTACATAGTCGCCCCTATGTTTTTAACATTATTAAGCTGCATCCCATGTAAAAAACGGGTTTCTAATGAATACAACGTGACAATTACGCAACCTATTTTTTTTCCCTTAATTCACGCCAAAAAAATGTGTAACATCATTTTTTGCAGATCCAAACGAAGAGTCCGGTTTTGTTCAGAGGAATTATTGCACAAAAAAAGCACCTTTTTTGGGCACCTCGTCTAACCGTTTTTTCAATTAACACCGAATCAATACTCCATTCAATCATGCATATTTTTTTAAAACTAAAGTTACTTTTTAACTATGTTTTTCAGACATCATATAGGTGTTTTGAAAACTATAAGTTATTTTTTAACTATTAAATCCAACAATTATGACATCACACATTTTTTTAAACTAAAAGTTATTTTTTAACTATGCATTTCAAACATCATATAGGTGTTTTTATAACTATAAGTTGCTTTTTAACTATTAAATCCAACAATTATAACATCACACAAATTTCATAAATTAGTTTTTAACTACTATTACAAGATCTTATATTTACAAGCTAAACTTTAAGTACATATTCAGTCCCCGTATAAGTATTTCTACAACTTCATATTTTTTAACTAATAAAACAAATGTTTTTAATGTCAGTTATTATCACATCGATTTAAAGTTAATAGTTAACTCATCCATATTTTGAGTTTACGTAACTCCAAGTTCAACAACTCACATTGTAAAGTTCAATTTTTACTCCACAACAATGTCATCTCAATCCACCAACCAACTGTATCATATTTAAATTTTAACTCCACAGAGAGGTTGGTTGCCTCGGTGGTGGGGGAAGTCATGAGTAGCGCTACGAAGTTTCATAGCACGCAGCGTCTGTTTGTCGCTTCACGTAGCGCCACCATATATATAATTATATATGATATATATATTGGAACATATATATGCATAATATATAAACATGCAACAAGCAGCATGAAAAAAAAATCTTTATACCCGGTTGGTGGCACCAATCGGGACTAAAGATTGATCTTTAGTGCCAGGTATTTGAATCGGAACTTAAAATAGTAATCTTTAGTCCCATATACATAACTCCGCCAAGGGGTTGCAACCGGGGTTAAAAGATGGTTTGTGCAACAGTGATATAATCCTACAAGTCATTTTTGTGCTGACCTTAAATATTGCTTTGATCGAAGAATAGTTTCATTTATTTATATTTTAGTAGTCGTTTCGATTGTCGATCTGAAAAACAAAAAAATAGGGAAGGAAAAAGTGCGTGTATTTATTAGTACTTGTACTACTTCTACTCCCTTTATCAAAAAAAGTCTAACGCCAAAGATGAACTTATGTTCAGATTATTCATCTGTGGAATTAGATATTTTTTTAATAATAGATTTAAATAAAACCCGGCCTCTGTCTAAGTTCAGCGCCACACGATTTGGCGTTGAGCAAAAGGGTCAGATTTGAAATAAGTTTTGGCAGCGATTCATTTGTAAAAATAGTTTTTGCAAAGGGTCAAATTGTCAAAATTAATGGCCAATTGGATGTACCGAGTCTGATTCCTGATTGAGCATAGGGAAGTCTAATCCTAATTGAACGCTACGGAAGTGAACGTCAGAACGGGACAGCTGGGATAGGGAGATGAGGGAATTCGGCAGACGAATCCACGAATTAGTACGGTGGTATACTGTTGATCCACATCACCAAGCACCGGAATTTCTGCCTGCAGGTTATTCTCCTCCACACAAGACCGTATAAATTGCCTCGAGTGGACCCGCAGCAGTTAGCGCGCAGCTCTCAATCATGGTCACCTTGCTTGAGAACTGGTCATGATAAGCAAGGAAGATACAGGAGCAGTTAGTCCCGACACTGGTCACCTTCTCGATCCTACGAGGCGCTGACATGGAAATCCAATCATATTAATTCCCCTTTACTGGCACTGTTGGACGAGCGACGGTGGGTGCGACTCGCAACGAGTAGCAAGCGGTGACGGGCGCGGTAGGGAGGGGGAATCGGCCGGCAGCAAGTGGCGAGCGGCGATGGGTGCAGCTGGGTGGCTCCGGTCGACTACGGGTGCGGTTCAGCATACGTCGGCGAGCGCGGTTCCGATCGGCGGCGGGCGCGGCAAGGAGGGCGAACTAGTCGGCGGCGAGCGATGAGCGGCGACGGACACGGATCGGTGCCTCCAGTCAGCTATGGGCGCAACTGGCCGAGCGGCGGCGGGCGCGTCTCCGGCATGGCGGGGAGGAGGAGTTGGTTGGCAGTGAGCGGCAATTGGCAAGGGGCGCGGCTAGGTGGCCCTGGTCGGAGGCGGGAGTGACAGGCAGGGACCGCCACTGTCACTGATGCCGCCACCACCGCTGTCACCGCTTTTCCTGCCTGCCCTACCCCCCCCCCCCCAAGTGGTTCCTCCGCCGCTGCCACCGCCGGACCTAGAGGAAGAAGGGGAAGGGAAGGGGAGGAGCGGCTGCGGCGAGGAGGTGGCGTCGCTGACAGCGGCTCGCCACCCACTCGGGGGGTAATTCGATCGACCGAGATAGTTCGGGGGGGGTAATTCATACCTTTTTCTTTATTATTTGGTATAAGGGATGTATTTATCACTTACTAGACCCGCCTTCCAGGATAAGTTCGTTTTACACATTCCACCTACCAATACATAACCAACACAACTAGAATACCGTTACTTTCTCAAAATCCAATGCCATTATTCATTACTAAGAGTAACAATGCTTTTTTTATTCCTTCCTATGAGGTTGTAGTGCTATTACCTGATATTAGTTGCTTAGTATCTTCACAATGTTTACTACTTGGTATAAGAGATGTATTTATCGCTTACTACACCCTTATGCTAAAATAAGTTTTGTTTACTAGCTGGTTGTAATGCAATTGTCACATATTTGCTGCTTACTACCTCCAAAATATTTACTATTCGATATAAGTGATGTATTTAGTGCTTACTACTACACCCTCGTCCCAAAATAAGTTCATTTTTCACACATCTCACATGCACCAATACAAAACAAAAAGACAATAATACACTTGCTTTCTCAAATGACAATGCAATTATTTCTTGCTAAAAGAATTAATGTTTTTTATTCCTTACTAGCAGGTTATAGTCTTGCTTGATATTTGTTGCTTAGTGCCTCCATCATGTTTACTGGTTGGTATAAGGGATGTATTTATTGCTTATTACACCCTGCTCGCAAAATAAGTTTATTTTTCACACATCCCACACATAGCAACCACTATCTATTTATTTTACTACCTATTTTTTCTTCTCAATCAATCACAAACTTCATCCAATCATTTTTACCTAGCTACTTCCTTAATATCCATGCCCACCTAATATTAGAATGGAGAAAGTATCTATTTTGTGATAGAGAGTATCCTTTTAAGAGTTCACTGTGGAAGCCCTATTATTTTTACTTATTTCTTTAATATCCATGCCCACCTAATATTTGAACGGAGAAAGTATCTATTTTGTGACAAAGAGAGTATCCTTTTTAAGAGTACATTCTAGAAGCCCTATGCCTTATCCTATATAAAGCAGCTAGCTAGCTAGCTAGCTAAAGCAACGATCAGACTACCACACTACAATAGTATCAGTGAACTGCTATTGCCCTCCCAAGGGAAATATACTAGTATGTCAACTTCCATCCCTCTCCCTTTCTTCTTCTCTCATGGTGTTGTGCATGCTAGGATAGGCCATCGTCCAATCCAGCCATCGGTTGGGCTTCTTTCTGCTGGTGCCCCGGCAAAAGTCTCCTTCCGACGACAAAGCAGTGCGCATCGACATGCTGCACATGTTGTGTCCTCAGAATCAATCACTCCTGTAAAGGAAGTATCTAGCTTTGAGCCCTCTGTATGGGGGGATTTCTTTATCAACTATGACCCAAAGCCACTACAGGTATACCTTTTTTATTTTCATATTGTAGAAACCCTATCTTGATCCAATACAAGCATCGTGGCAATCGATATGAGATGACATAATTAAGGAATAAGGACGAGATGATGTGAGATAAAGAGTCACTAGAGGTCGGGCAGATTGATGGGCATATTATTTAGGTTTCGCCTTTTTCACACGTGGTGCTATTATGAGGCCGACCTGTCAATTGTTTTTATAGACAGCTCTGGGTATTTTCTATTAAAAAATACGATTTTCTCGGCCTTTAAGATGGGCACCTAAAAGAATGATCCTATTTTTCTATGTGCCTCCTAGCTAGCATGCTTGCCTATGAAAATTGACTCTCATCGTAGAGCCTTGACCAGAGAGCCTACGCATTTTCACAGGTAGGTACTTACTTAGGCCGCCTATAAAAATATACGGGTTGTTCACGAAAATAGTTCTTTATAGCGTGGGCAATTACTCCCTCCAATGTTTCTCATTTGGTATTCTGACGTGCAGATTTTCCCAACACAACTTCAACTAAGACTTGACTTTTATAGTAAGAATGGCATATTTTAGCTGTAAAATCAACGGCAATATTCACATGACAAATTATATAATTAATACTTCTATATCTATTTACGTACTTTAAAAATGTTTGCAAGCACTCATTGTAGAACGGCACATATTTGGAAATTAAAAGGATGGAGGGGCGACGTAGTTCACATTTTCCTAGTGGATCAATGGAGTTTTATCATATTTTTTTATTACATTTGATTTAATGCAGCTTTTGGCAAGAAAAAATTTGGTCAAATCCACAACACACCAACAAGTTATCTAAAAGGAATGTTTTATTTCACCTAATTATTCATTCCTGTATTTCTTTCATCCGATACTAACAAATCAAATTTATGCATGCAAATAAACAGAGATCGGAGGATTGGATGATGGAAAAGGCTGATAAACTAAAACAGGACGTCCGTATACTGTTTGAGACGCACAATGATACAGCCAAGAAAATGCACTTAGTAGATGCAGTTCAACGTCTTGGAATAGATCACCTTTTCCAAGATGAGATAAACAATGCAATAAGTGACATCAAAGAAAGTGAATTCACTAGCTCTAGTCTCCACGAGGTTGCTCTCCACTTTCGCTTACTTAGGGAGCATGGCATTTGGGTATCTCCAGGTACTAATAAATACTGAAAGAGATAACTTGCAGAGTGATTTTCACAAAATTGCAACTTGGTCAAAACTATCTCACTGCAACATTTACTATGTATTTTACAAACAACAACAATGCCAAACAAGTCTATTACAAAATACACCCTTCGTTTCTATAAATCTGGTCAATCTTAAAGAAGTTTGACTAGCAAAAAAGTCAAACGACTTATAATATGAAAAGGAGGGAGTAACAATTTATCCACTATGTGCATATGACAGATAGGCCCAATTTTCAATAGTGCCAGTATTTCTTATATTGGTGATGACTTACATATACAAATTTTTGTATTTTTCTCTAGATCACAAATTTTAAGTCATTGTATTGTAGGTATTCATTCATTTTCGTAATTATGGTTGTGTCAAACAACTTTTCAATACAAGTCCAGATTAGAATATATACATAAAAATTAGTCAAGAATATCCGATGTATTAAAAAATTGTATGAAAAGGGAATCTAGTGTCTTTTGGAAGGAAAAATCCACATTTAATTTAGCTGCCTTGCAGATGTATTCGAAAAATTCAAAGGAGAGGATGGGAGGTTCATCAATACAATAGCTGATGAACCAAGGGCATTATTAAGTTTGTACAATGCAGCTCACCTCCTTGTCCATGATGAGCCAGAACTTGAAGAAGCTATGTCTTTTGCAAGGCACCACCTCGAATCAATGAGGGACGGAAGTAGGCTCAAGGCCCCTCTAGATAATCAAATCAACCGTGCCCTACACTTACCATTACCGAGAACCTACAAGAGAGTTGAAATGTTGCATTACATGCTGGAGTACGGACAGGAGGAAGAATGTATTGTTGTTCTTTTAGATCTTGCAAAGCTGGAATTTAACCTTCTGCAGCATGTCCACTTGAAGGAGCTCAAAGCTTTTTCTCAGTAAGAGTCTTTCTTTGCTTTGTCTTTGTACATGTCTTGTGGATGTAGATACCAGGTTTATTCATTTCCTTTATCTAAAAAAAGAGTATTTATTTGATATTTATATATATAATAAGTAAATATATACCATGAAAGTAATTGATTGTGCCCTTTAGGACAGAAACAAACCACTGTAATAATCTCAAATCTGTGTATGTGCACGATACAACTACCAAAATATGTTTTTCGATCTTCGCTCTACAGTTAGTAAAGATAATTTAGAGAACATTTAGTTATTAGTGAATGGGCCGTGCATTACAGTGGAGAATTTAGAAGTATTTGTTTTCTAGGAAAGCTTGATAAAAACCTATTGGAAATTATTTACTCGTCATACCTAAAAGGACTATAATTTGAGCTACGTAGAAGTTGATGTGTAATTTCAACTCATGAATAGTTATGACAAGTATGAGAGGGATTCGATGGCTTTTACTTTCTAGGTGAGATGTTGCTCAATACATCTTGAGCTCTAAAGCAATTATACTAAGTGGTTAATTCTGAATACACATGACATGTGGGTAGCTATGATCAAAGTAAAGGAGGAATCCAAAGGCTGTTGTATTTCAGATGAACTTAATCAATACATGTGGATATTTTAGCTCTGACTATATAGGATAGACAGATATAGATAAGTGCAAAATTCTGGAGAGACGTTGTGTTCCTTCGATGTACTGAATGGTAAATACATAAAATGTGTACCTCGTTTTAGACAAATTGACGCTTTGTTTGTGCAACCAATTTAATGTTAATTAATCACAAAATACATGTACAACTTTATGTTTTGTCCAGAAGTAGTCAATATATGTCATGTTAATGAGGTAGTTAGTGTATCCGAGTTTAGGTATCGCTTTATCTGTAGTTTCAAGTATTGAACAATAGAAAATTAAGGTTTATACTACTATATAATTTGTCCACTCTCAGATAAAAAAGAAGGACAGCTAGCCTTCAAGGAATATCCGAATATTTTATCAATCTTTGTCTCAGCATTTGCAGCAGCAATACACTAGAGGCTTTTATGCGGCTTTAAACATCCAATAACTAGTGACATATACTGAAATAACTAGCAATATGGCTCTTCATGTTGTTAGTGTTTTCGGTATGCCTGATATGCTATGTACATATTATTACTATCATAAATCAATTAATACTCATTGCTTCTAATGATCTAATATATATATCTTAAATATACTTCAAAACAAGCACCTAAAACAATCGATCATTTTAATTTTCAGGTGGTGGAAAGATCTTTATGGATATGTCGAGCTAAGTCATGTTAGAGATCGTGCAGTGGAGTCATATCTTTGGTCCTATGCGCTGTTCTATGAAGAAAACTTAACACTCACACGGATGATCCTTGCCAAGATAATTGTATTCATTGTCCTTATGGATGACACATATGATGATCATGCCACCATCGAGGAATGCAGGAAGCTGAATGAAGCCATACAAAGGTACGATTAATTAATAGGTCAAAAACAACAGAAATTAATATCCTTCATCTCGAGCCACCAATTGTAAGAGAAATCAAGAAAACCGCACAACAAATTATATTTAAAAGTTCTAAAGTTTCACAGAATATTATAATATGTTAAAGATCAGGCTTTTCAAAATTGAAAGGTACAGATGATCAAATCAGAAGCCCAAAAATAAATCAAAATTTAACTATTCTACCCCTATACCTGTAAATCTGAATCAATTGAAACTTCTAAACGCTATGCATGACCGTGTGATATAACCTCATATACTTAAAGTAATTTCTATGGAAAAATATACAGAGATAGATAGAAAGAGAGAGAGAGAGAGAACGTGCTATTGCCTAACACGTAGCATGTTGTTTAACTAAGCAATGTGTCACACGCGTGCCCATCGATCCTCTGCACCTCTCCCACCCCTTCATTAGCTACCCTCTGCCCCTCCCATGCAGATTCAATATTTTGTGTATTTTTGGAAGACCCTACCTATACTTTTACTTCTAGATGGGATGGGGAGGGGATAGATTGGGATGGTTGTCTCTGACGCATTGTCTAGATGGCCAAAAGCTGGCAGTCTTTTTATTTCAATAATAGGCACATGCACATTTTTCATCGTAACCACTACAAACCATTTCCGTGTCCCTATGAAGATGACTAATGCCGCCCAGGGTCATATAACAAAAGAAAACTATTTTTACAGATAGCTCCTTATGAAAAATTGCATGTGAAAATAGGTCTATTAACACAAATGGGTCGCGTAATTTGAAAGGTGGGGTCATTTTTATATACGGATCTCATAAGAAAAAATCAATAAAATTGATTTTTAAGGGCAGTTCTATTAGGAAACCACTTGTAACTCTTTCCTATGATGTCGCCTAATGACAAATGTTATGTGACAATTATAGTTCTTGTTGAGATGTTGTAGTTAATGTTTTTCTATTTTAGGTAGTTAATGGGATCAAAAGTTCATTATAAGAAGCTTTAAGGTCTACATTAGAATTTTTTGTTACATACGTTGACGGGTACAATTTCTATAAAACAATATAGCGCTCGACAAGGTTTGTAACTTTCTAGTCAAAGTTATTTCATTTAAGAACATTTAGGTGCCGAAATATTCGTTACAAATTCGGAATCTACTTTTTAAAATAGGATGATTTTACAAACAGATCTTTATGAAGTCTAAAGTTTTAAAATTCATAGAAAATACACCTTAAGTCCAATTGAGTTAATCCAAAGTTCTATGAGATCCTTACAATATTTCCTCAAATATGGCCTAGTCAATTTTTTTTTTGATATTTCCTTTATTATGAACATTCACAAATGTCAAGTTGCATAACACATCAAAACATACAATGGGAACTTGACATAAGTGAACAAGGATATTACCAAAATATGGACCTTACAAATTTAATGAAAAAATTGTTGGGATCATATATAACTTTAGTTCACCTCAATCGCACTTCAAATGAACACTACATAAATCTTTAAGGTTTTAATATGTGTTACAAGTTTAGGAGAGTTTAAATTAGAAGACCAACGTCTATTTCATAGTAATTAACAAAGTGCTTCATATGTAAGATGGTAATAAGTAAGATACACATGAAGGGAGAGATCCCGGATTTGAATCCTACATACTAGATGCATATTTTGTGTGAAAAAATTGCGAACTTGTGATAATTAAAATATGAAATACTTTTTGCGCCTACAATAATTAAAGACTTGAAAGTCGAACTTAAAATACAAAAAAATAGATTTGTTAACATGCAGTTGTGCAATCCACTAGCACAAAACTGTCGATTTCTATAGGCCCTATGTAACATTTGGTTGGCTAAACACTTCCAAAAATGGGGGTACCAATTATATTGTAACCGCCTATAAAAGTAGTTTTCCGAGCATTCAACATTCCACCTCTAATTCTAGAGCAGCAAAACATGCGAGTTTTTCCAACTACTATGCAATGACCAAGCAGAGTACCGCTCATGCATACACATATATTCTACTGTCATTCTATCAAGAAACAGCTAAGGCCAACTTTTAGTTAATTAAAACAGAGATGTGCAACTGGAGGTAGAGCTAGCTACAACTACCAAAGGTAGCTGGCATCAGTATTCTTGTTACCGAGCTGTTGCTGCCAGCATGATATGAACCAACAATTTCCATGAACCCGAGCTACTTAGAGCAAATAAAAAAGAAATTGTTTATTTTACCTTTTGATGTTTAATGCACCTAAACAATTAATCTGAGTAAAGCACAACTGAAAAACCATGTTGATCCTCTAACTAAATAAATTTGTTGTACAGTTACCATCGAATTTATCGATCACTATACATCTCAATTAATTATGGTCACGCGTTTCACACAATGTTAACAAGTCTTTCATTCGAGAAATATTAAACATCATCAAACCACTTTATTCGTCACTGGTACATGGCGTGTCCATTTGAGCATAATTTACAAAGTATTTCATTCATTTATTTGTGGTTTCAACGCGATACATCCCTGTCAAACTATCTTTTTCGGCTAGATTTATTTACACTTGCCTAATTAAGTAATTTCATAAAAATTCCCAATTGGCCTATTGGACAGATGGGATGAAAGTGCTATCTCATTACTACCAGAGTACATGAAAAAGTTCTACCGTGCACTGCTGAATTACTTCAGGGAGACTGAAGCTCAAGTAGAGGCCAGTGACAAATACCGGGTGACCTGCATGAAAAAAGAGGTATACCAGTTATATATGTACTGCATCTTTCCACTTTTATTTCCTGTATTTGTTTAAATCTTCATATTATGCATTGATCGTTAATGGATTCTTCTTACTGTATGTTATCGATATATACCAAGAAAAGATCGTGTGCACCAATGAAATTTGTCATCTATTGGAATAAACTATCCACATTTATTATATATTCAATATAAGAGCATCACCAACAGTTCCCAAAATTCTATCCCTGAAATCTTTTGTTTAAATCACTAATGAGAAAATTTTGGGATAGAATCTAGGGCTAACTTTTCACCACCAAACCTAAAATTTTGAAACCATATTGAACATCTATTACTGATAGAAAATCGTAATAATCCAGGTACCAATACTTATAGCTGTATGCTCAACATGAATTTGTTAAACCATGCCTAAACGATAACACACGTGCTTTTTCATCCTCACTTTATGTAAAATGTTTAGTAAGTGTTGCTAGAACTTGGACAACTAGATACGTAAACTTGTGTAACCCTCCCAAAATTAGCATGGTAGGACTAAACTTCTCATTTCATACTGTACACACGTAGACTTCTATGCACTACCAGACTTGTGCTAACCCTACGGATCAAAAATTGTCAGAAAAATAGGGTTTATCCGTAGAAATTGTATTTTTGAGGGAACCGACAAGAATTGCCGATAGAAAAATCACAACGGAGAAATTATATTTTCCTATGGGTTTCCCTATGTGTTTAACACAGAAAACTTCCATTGGCATCGGGTTTTGTCGCCTAAATTGTGACGTGCTGCCGTCAGGAAAAAAGATCATGTGGCACCATAAAATAAAATGGCTCCAAGACAACCTCCCGCCCCCCCCCCCCCCCAACAATTCAATCCACATATCCATATGGATTATTGAACATAACTTTTTCAACAAAATATGCAAATGAACTCTTTTTTTTTTACTGATACATAAGTGATAAAGCTACAGATAGGCATGCACAACAATTCAGCATCAAATTTTAAGCAAACTTCAATCCTGTAAGTTATATAACCAATACACGTACATGCCAATTCACATCAACAAGAATCTTTTATTCACCACTATAAGTTACAAGTTATGGTACTACATGTCCTCCGGCAGCAATATTCCAAGCTAGATGAGACAATGAATGCAGATATCTTATCCCTTTTCGATGCATTTTTATCTCTATCTATTTTCTCCTCTTTACTTGCCTTGAGAATACTACAGATTATGGTAAAAATATATCAACGTATAGGAGACACACAATATTGTAAGCTGGTCAATAAGATCCTGCTATATGCTTAAAAAGTTGTGGTTACTGAGGATACTACAAACAGCATAATATTGAATACATGTAAGTAACTGTCAGTCTAAGAATTCCAAGGATATAAATAACTGATTAATCATATGGCTGCTATTATCATGCTTTAATGTTCTATACTATTTATGAAATTCATATATTATTTAGCCCAATAGCTTAAATGGAATTATCTGCCATATCAATCTAGCTAGCAGGAAGCACAATTAACCCATAGCTTATACTTAATCTAATCGTATTCCAGCGGGCTTTGCACAAAATATATATCCTTCACTGACACACGAACTACATATCCTTAACAAGATGGACAGGGACTGAAGATACACGCAAAATAATGAACTAGCTAGAGACTTTAAGTGTATACATCGATCTAAATATGTTGTTTTTTAATCATAACAATATTAGAAGAAACCAAGGGAAGGCCATGGCTTTTTTCTACAATAGGAAACTATGAAGTCACAACCTCTCAGCATTCAAGCACCTTACTTAATACAGTAGACAAAAAGCATTCGAAAGAAAATTACAGACAAGGATCCCATCTTAGCATTTCACAATAGACTGGCTTTGGCTACAAGCAAACTGGTTAGTTTAAAGTAAAATAGATGCATCAACCTGACATTAGCGTGGATACATTGAAACAACGCTCACCTCCAAAGATGGCTAGCTGGCTAGCTCGATCGGGTAGCCGGTGGGTGGTGACTGCCGAGGATGAGGGGAAGGGGGTGGCCGGCACATGCTCTCCTTACAGTTGGTTGACCTCGAAAGCAAACGGCAGCGCACAAGGATAGTCAAGTGGAGGAGGGGGGAGACACTGTCCACTCACCCATAAATAACTCGACGAAGTTAACCTTTAACTATGTATAACTTGCCTAAAATGATAATTATTGGAACCGGGTGGAGTATGTCTTTGTTTGATGAGTATGGTAGTAGTGCGGTAAAATAATTATAATGATGTAGCTAACTAGTTTTTTTTGGCTAATTTGATTTGCATGGGTGCAGTTCCAAAATCTATCCACGTATTACCTGCAAGAATTTGAATGGTTGCATCAAAATTACAAGCCAGCATTTAAGGAGCGGGTTGCTTTGTCAACCCTGTCCAGTACTGTTCCACTACTCTGTGTGACTGCTGCAGTTGGCCAGGGTGATGCAGTAACGAAGGAATCATTTGAATTGACAACAGTACGTTCAAGTGCCGTTATAGCTTGTGCAAAGATTATGCGTTTCATGAACGACATTGCTGCATTCAAGGTATAGATGCAGTAATTCAATTTTACTGTTTTGGAAAAAAAATTGAGAGTACTAATTCCATGTACTTCCCTAATTTATTGTATTTAAATATGTAAGGCTGTGTTCGGAACTACGATTCCTAACTTCTACTCTCTTATTTTCCATGCTCAAGTTTCGTGAACTGTTGAGTTGTGCTTTTTTTATTAAAAAATCTATAAAAAGTTGCTTTAAAAATCATATTAATTTTTTCAAGTTTTTAATAACTAAAAGTTAATTAATTGCGCGCTAATAAGTCCCCTGTTTTACGTACACTGGGAGAAGTTCCCAACATAGTTTATGGAACACAGCCTAAATGTGTATGCAGTCTGGAATTGGATGCTGAATGTGGTCCAGCTACTTAATCACTTTACATTACTAAATTATTAGTGGAGAGCTGAAATGTTATATGTATATAACTAGCTATTTCCTACAGCATATAATATTGAAACAAAAATTGTCAAGAAAACCTAATTATATATTGTAAAATAGAGGAAGTAACATATATTTTTTTCACACTCATGCAGTCTGGAAGAAAGAACAAAGGAGATGCCGCAAACACAGTAGAGTGCTATATCAATGAGCACAAGGTTACAAGCGAAGTTGCCTTAGACAAGATCGAATCAATGATTGAAAGTGAATGGAGAACCCTGAATCAGGTTCGTTGTGATCATCAAAAGCAGTTCCATGTGGTGCAACGAGTTATGAATTTGGCCGTAGCAGTGCCATTCTTTTACGATAAGAAGAAAGATGCATATACATTTTCGAAGTATCATCAGGGAAATGTTGGGAATCTGTTTGTGAATCCTGTCACCCTTTAGAACTGAGCTATCAACAATGCAGCAAACTATGTGCTTACACAATGCTTATGTAATTCTATCTCCATCTTAAAATAAGTTCACTTTTGTACATAAATCTGGACATGGTCTATATCCAGACTCATGTATAGAATGAAATTTATTTTGTGATGCAGGTAGCAATTCTTATGCGTATACTCTATGTGTACGTTGGTAATTAGTAAATAAAGATGGCACCGTCCGAAGTGCATTGCCATTTATGTTGTTGGGCAGGTAATTCTCTATGATGTTTAATCATCTCTGGTCCCACTGCAGTCGCTGCATTGATATTGTCACACCCAGAAATTCAAGTAATTTCCGAACTAATTTGTGCATTAAAACCCTCGTCCAGAAATCAGCCGATGTACACAAATTGATAATTTTATATATAGATTCTTTAAAATAACTAAAGCGAAAAATACTTTCATAAGAGGCACTTAGTCCTCACCACGAAGAAAACTGGAGCGGAAAACAAAATCTATCGAAGCTTCAACTTTACTCCCACATGCAGCTCAACTAGAATCTAAGCCAAAGTTCTTCTCCTTCTTGATCATTTTTCTTCAACTGAGATTTGGTGTTTATTACAAGGTGAGTACATGGAATACTCCATAAGCCAGACAGGAAATATGCAAGTACACAGGGATACCAAAAGAATGGCGTAATATAGGGCTTATTTGCGAAAGCAGCATTTAGCAAAGAGTTGAAAATATGTAAAACAGTAGAGAAATCAATTAAACAGTATTAATCCAACAATATACAACATACCCGTTGCATAGGTCCAACCAAACCTGAACAACCAACCCTGGTCGTACAGATCAAACCTCCAAACCAGGAATTAAACATTCCAAACCAGGAGTTAAATTAATTACCATCAATTATCACATTATTACCATTAATGAGTAGTGTGGGATTAATCACCAAAACATTGTTAGACCCACCCATAACCGCGGACACGAGTATATAAATAGTTTTACTCTGGCCAGAGGTGTACCACGATACCCACAAGACACAGCCCCACAACATGTCACCATGCCCTTAGTACCACCATGGTACCTCGAAACGGGACTGTGACAGTACCCTCCGTATAACGCAATTCACAGTAGTGCACCTTTCCTGGATCATAATCACCCCCTTATGGTATGCTTTCTCCAGCGACCCCTATGGGCTTATCTCCGCCACTTCACAGTCCAGTGCCCCACAATGAACCACACTATACAAAAGGTAAAGTCGTTGCCCACGCTGGCTTGTGGTTGGTACGGTTAATGTTTCACAACAGTAGCTCGCGAACCGGTCCTTAATTGTCATGAGCACGACTATCAAAACCATGTACTCACAACCCACCATTATCAGGTTTTAGTTGGTAATTAATTAACCAATCACGATTAGCCATTGTTAGCTACCTTTAAATAATCATCAATGATATATAAGTGAAGCATTAGTTATCCCAAAAGTGTGCTAATGTTTTTCAGCATAGCTAAGCAATGATATTTAATATCTAGCTGAACCAATATATAAAGTCCAAGCTAGTCAAATTATAAACCATAGGAAAATAAAATAATTTTCGGCCATAATACAGGGAAAAGGCTCACACCACCCAATGACATTCGAAATAAATGCACATTTTAAATAAATAGAGAATTTAAATATAGGTTCAACATGCTCAAAGGAATTGTGTTTGGGATCTGTGTGACTTGCCTCGCAAACAAGCGTCTTCAAATCGTCTTCAGGAACTCCTCCAACGAACTAACAATCCTTCCAAATGACTAAAAACTGAACCTAGAGCACAAAACGAGGAAAAACACTAACAAAAACCAAATAAACATTACAGTTACATCAATGATTGGGAAATGGGTATGTTGACGGTTCTTAAATCATAACATTTGACCATCAATACCTGCATATAATAAAATAAAACATGGTATCCAACTTACCGGTGTTGATGTAAAAACACCAGGCCTGAGAGATCTGCTTAACTCCAGTGCATGTCCAAAAGCTTGCCTTTAGGTTCGTGAGCGTGCCAGTTGATTTGATCCTGCAATCAACAAGAAAGAAAGATAGAAACCGCGGTTAAATCCATAAATGACAACCGATCGGCTAATTGCCGATGACATATCATTTATCTTTGAGCCGATGTCATATATATATTGATCGGCGGTCGTAAATAAATAATAAAGAATTAAATCTACTCGATCGGCTGTAGATATTAGCAATATATAATCCTTATGTCGATATATACTGAAATCAAGTGATTAGGATAGATCGGTCGCCATGCCGAGACAGTATAAATCACTTAGATCGAAATATATATTAACAACTGGATTATATAAGTTTATAGCATAGCCGATCAGATAGATCTAGCATGTATCGGCTAATACTCCGATATCACTCTATATTAAGATATTAAAGCAAGTAAAATACGTCAAACAGAAGCCTAACGTATCTAATTACAACAAGATCTTAATGTAAAGGGCGGATTTAACATGTCAATCAAGCATATAACACATAAAGTAGTTAAATCAGGTAAGATCGGCTGAAACCCCGATGCTACCCTAATCGGCAACCAGAAAGCAGGCTAGGGATTAAGATTCTAAACATGACTTATAAGGTCAAACTCAATTGATGCAACTATAAGTATGAAAAGAAGAATAATATCTAGACAATCAAGCCGCTTGATGTTTCATAGAGTAGTGGATATTCTATATAATCTAAGCCAATGTTGTTACTTAACCTAATCGGCTGCCTTCCAGTGATAGACGTTAGCCGATTGAAGGTTAAATAGCAATATTGTCAGGGATTGTATAGAATATATGATATCTCGACGAATTACATAATTAAGATTAGAGTATCATGAAGATGGAAGCACTAATCCAAAGAACGCAAGCCGCCATAACAAGTTTTAACTCTAGTTGAAGATCGAAACCGATGCAGCTCAACTCGAAAGCAAGAACTCGTTGAAACAAAACGAAAGTAAAAGGGTGGCGATGCACCGAGATTGTATTGAACGTGTGTTGATTTGATTACATGGGGCTCGGGTCTATTTATACTCGAGAATTACAAGATATATCCATGTCGGACACGACTATTATCTCTAACAAACTCTAATATACCATAAGTCTTTGCGGCAGATTTTTGCCCACACTTATCTCTAAAGACATTACATAAAATACCCTAATTAATAGATACAATTACCTTCTTAGGACTCAATCTGTGTGTGGCAATCCACGTGAAGTACATCAATGTTGACGGTTGTTATCGATCAGTTCTGACCGTCAATATTACTAAAACAGGAGAGAACTAGTGATGCTTGCAATGCATAAATATGTTAGAACAATAATATTCCACTAGTATTAGGTCTACTAACCTTTTGCAGAGAATGACAATAAAGTGGAGAAGAATTGACATCAACATAGACGATAAATTAATCGGACGATGTCGAGAACCAGACTTGTGTATAGATGGGCCAAGAACGCAGACTTGACACGATGAATCAGGCCAAAATTCACAAGTCTACGAAGTGAAGCAGCAGAGGAGGCCGCAACCCGAAATTGGGTGTCACAGCCTGATTTTCGTTTCAGGATTTATAAATCATTTAATAAATTATTAATAGAATTTATATTAAATGTTCATTAATTTACAAGTGAAGTTAAATGTGGGAAATAAAATTTCCTAAATATAAAGCATGGATGGATTTAATTTTTATTAAATTCTCCATGATTAATTATACTCTCTAGAATTTTCTCGGATTTTTCAGAGCTCAATTCCTAATTTTAATAATACAAAGAATATTTCAGTAATTATTTAATTAATAAATTAATCATGAAATGGTATGGTTTTAATATTTTTAAATACTTTGAGTGTCCAAGTATGTTCAAGATTTTTCTTGGAATTATTTGAGCATTGAAAGTATTTTTAACAATTGAAAGATCATCTCATTGGTTAATTTATTTGGAAAAGTAATAAAAATCCTCCTCCTCAGCTTGGGCCGAATTCAGCCCATTCTCTCCCTTCCTCTCAGCCCAGACAAAGTCTGATTTACCTCCCTCGCGCTACAGTACTCCATCTTCCTCTTCCAGACAGAGCCGAGCCAGCCGTGCTCGTGCACAGTGCCGCCGCCCCCTCCCACCAATCCGTCCTCCCCGTTGCTCCTCTTTCCAAATTAGTTGCGGGAATGGAATCCCCTCAATCTCCTCTTCCTTTTCCCCAAGAAATCCCCAAAATTTTCTATGGAAATTCTTTCCAATTTCGCGGATCAAATCCTTCCTTTTTCCGGCGAGAACCTAGACTTTCCCGATTTTTTTCTCGTCGATTTGGGCCTGGACCCGAGCTCCCGTGCCTATATAAAGGACCCCCTAGTCGTCCTCTCCCTATCCCTTCAAGTTCCGTCCGCCGCCGTCGCCGGAAACGCTCTCCCCGTGCTCTCCTTCTCTCTCCAAGCGCCGGCGCCGCTCCAACCGTCCCTAGCCGCCGCCTCATCTGCCTGCTTCCTGCGCCGCCACCTCCATCGGCTCCGCAAGGTCGAGCTCCACCCCGGCCGCCGTTCCCCTTGTGCCGAAACCTCGCCGGAGGCAGTCCTCGCCATGAACCAGTGGGTTGCCGTCATGTTCCGATCTCCAGCCGCAGCTAGCAGCCGCCTTAGCTGCCGCTTTTGGTCGCCGCTGCCGCCGTTGGGTTCGCAAGAAGGAGAGGGAGCCCGGCAGCCATCTCCCCGAAGCCGAAATCCACCGGAGCTCCATCGTCGCCGTCAACCCGAAGCTCGCCGTCGCGTTTTGATCTCCGGCGAAGCCCTGCTGCTCCTCCCGTCATCGCCAAGGTTCGCCGCTGCCTGCATTGGATTCGCGGCTGCGAAGTGAAGCCCGGCCACCCCTCCGTTGTCGCCGCACATCGCCGGAAAGTCGTCGCCTCCGTGGACAGTACCTCGCCGCCCTTCGAAGCTCGTCGCCGGCCATCTTCCGTTGCCGTTCGTCGTCGCGTAAGTGGTGGTAAGGGTCACTTTGATCCCCTCTCGCTCCCGGTGCCCTCCGTTTGCGTTACTGTGCCGTGGTTCGCCGGCAACCGCCGCTCCCATGCCGTTCACCTGTGAGTTTTTCCCTAGGGTCTTAATTCAATCTAATCCGTTGTCTATCTAGCATTGCCGTCATCTCCATGTGTTGCCGCCGGTTCACCGTCGTCATCTATCTCTCTCCGACCGCTTTGGTTCGGTGAGACTTCTATCCGTGACCCCTCGGGTTAGGTTTCAATCCCTCGGTCATGTCGCCGCTGTTGCTCTAACCCTAACGCAGCCGCTGCCGCGTCACTTGCCGGCTGCCCTGTGCATCGTCGCTACCGGTTGTGCCGTTGTTGCTTGTCGCCGCCGTTGTGCTAGCCGCCTAGCCAAACCAAGTTGCCCTAGTGCCACCGTGTCGCAGCTGTGTGCCGCTTTAACCTAGCCGCCGCTTTAGCTGTTGCTCGGTAGCCAAGTTGTCTAGCCGTAGGTGCATCCCTAGGTTCCTACCAGCCTATCATTTGCAGTACCGGGGCTTTACCGTGAATCGTTCCTAGTCCACCGGTTTAGCCGTAGCCGTGGTTGAGTCGTTCGCTCGTTCGTTCGAACGAGGTGTTCCCTGTGTTTCGTTCGTTCGCCCGTGTTGAGTTGTCCATTAGTTTAGAGCCGTTCAGAGCCGCCAGTTTCGTTCGCCGGTTTCGGTTGAACATTTGGGTGATCCCGTGTCACGTAGAATTGATTCGTTGAGTCGATATCTCGTGAGGCTCGCTTGCCAGATCAATCTAAGCCATCCGATCTTGGTCAACTCTCGGTCAAGATTAATCTTAGCCGTCCAAAATTGATATAAATCCGTTCTCTCTTTTCAGTGGCATATTATTTATTTTTAATATATGTCATCTACCAAATATAATCTAATCTTTTCCGGAGGTTGTTTTAATCTTTTATCTCAGTTATAAATCATTTGTAAATTGTTTAATTAATTTGGAATAGTCTTTTCTTCAATAGGTTTAATTGGAATTTAATCTTGTAAAATTTGTAATTAATTCATATGAAATCGGAATGAGGTCGTTCAAGTCTCTAAATTCATCTAAAATCATGACACATGTTTGTTTACTTTTATGTACTGTTTATTTGGTTTTTATTAGTCTTTTTCCTCGTTTTGCATGTTAGCTTGTCGTTTCCGTTATTTCGATGGTTCGCGTGTGCGTCGGAAGTATTCAAGAAGATTAATTGAAGACCGATTATTGCAAGGCAAGTCACACAGATCCCAAACACAATTCCTTTGAGCATGTTGATCTTATATTTAAATTCTCTATTTATTTTAACTGTGCATTTATTTTTGAATGTCACCGGGTGGTGTGAACTTATTCCTTTGTTATGGCCAATTTGCATTGATTACCCTATTTCTTGATTACCTCGGGGTTATAATTTGACTAGTTGGATTTATATATTAGTTCAGCTAGATGTTAGACATAATTGCTTAGCCATGCTTAGAAACATTAGCACACTATTGGGATAACTAATGCTTCACTATTACTTAATGATGGATATTTAATTGTAGCTCACGATGGTCAATCGTGATTGTGAATTAATTAATGTGCCAACTAAAACTTGATAATGGTGGGTTGTGAGCACATGGTTTTGATGGTCGTGTTCATGACAATTAAGGACCGGTTCACGAGTTTCGGTTGTGAAACATTAACCGTGCCAACCACAAGCCAGCATAGGCAACGGCTTTACCTTTTGTATAGCATGGTTCATTGTGGAGCACCAGACTGAGAAGTGGCAGAGTTAAGCCCACGGGGGTCGCTGGGGAGTCCATGCCTTGTTTATAAGGGGGTGATTATGATCCAGGAACAGTGCGCTGTGGTGGATTGTGTTGTGCGATGAGTACTGTTACAGCTCCTTTCCGTGGTACCGTGGTGGTATTGAGGCGCATGGTGACATGTTGTAGGGCTGTGTCTTGTGGGTACAGTGGTACACCTCTGGCCAGAGTAAAACTATTCGAATAGCCGTGCCCGCGGTTATGGGCGGGTCTAACAATGTCTTTCGTGATTAGTCCCACACTACTCATTAATAATAATGTGATAATTGATGGTAATTAATTTAGCTCCTGGTTTGGAATGGTACATTCCTGGTTTGGAGATAGATCTGTGCAGCCGGGTATGGTTGTTCAGGATGGTTGGGCCTGATCAGCATGGGTGTGCTGTTCAGTGTTGATTAATATTGATGATTAATTACTCTACTGTTTTGCAATTCTTAAATGTTTGCTAAATACTGCTTTTGCAAATGAGCCCTATATTATGCCATCCTTTGGTATCCTATGCACTTGCATATTTGCTGTGTAGCTTGCTGAGTATGTCATATGCTCACCTTGCAATAATCAATCAAACCTCAGTTGAAGACAAGTTGCGAAGGAGAAGACGTTTGGCATATACCCCAGTTGAGCTGCCTGTGGGAGTGGAGCCGGAGCTTCGCTAGATTTTATTTTTCGCTGCAGTTTTCTTCATGGTGAGGACTAAGGGCCTATTAAGTAAGTATTTATCGTTTTAGTTAATTTGATGAATCAGTATATTAAATTGTCAGTTTGTGTACCTCGGCTGATTCCTGGACGAGGATTTTATGCACAAATAAGTTCGGAAATTACTAGTGAATTTCTGGGCGTGACATAACCTCATCCCTTCATTCCAGCATAATCTAAAGAACTCACAACCCCAATGAGGATCAAAACCATCATCGTATTCTTCATAATGCTTCTCCTGCTGCTTGTCATATTTCCTTTGATATTTGTTGATAATCTTAGCCGAATTTACTTGAAAACCCTTTGCACGGACCCTATCGGCTATTTGACCAGCCGTATGCACCATATTAACAGGAAAAGGATTATCATCGACTTTCATCGGCTTTTTGGAATCATCAAACCTAATCTTTCCCCCCTCAATGGCAACCTGAATTTGCTGTCTAAAAACCTTGCAATCATTAGTGGAATGAGATCCAGAATTATGCCATTTGCAATATCTCTTTTTGCCTAATTCCTCAGCCGATGGGATTATATGGCCAGCAGGAAGTTGAATTTGCTTCTCTCGGAGTAGTAGATCAAAGATCTTGTCAGCTTTGGTAATATTGAAGTCATACTTCTTCTCTTTTCTAGGACTTTTTACCCATTGGCATGATATGACCTTTTTACTCCTCACCCATTCGGCTGCAGCTATTTCAGAATCGTCTTTCTCATCATCCGACCCATACATGTATGGACAAACATGATTAACCTTCTTAGAGCTTTTCCTGACTTCTGCCTACCTATACTCATGCAAGGTTACCTTCTGTATCAGATGTGATAAGCTATCAAAGTCTTCAGACGAGAATTTCTCCCTGATTGGAGCAATCATACCTTGGAAGGCCAAATCGGCTAACTGAGCATCAGTTAAACTCAAGCTAAAGCATTTGTTCCTCATCTCCCTAAACCTTTGAATATACTCGTGCACGGGTTCATCATACCGCTGCTTAATCGCTGTCAAGTCAGATAACTTCATCTCATGAATCCCAATGTAAAAGTAGCTATGGAATTGCTTCTCCAAATCGGCCCAACTATTGATCGACCCATATGGCAAAGAGGAAAACCAAAAGACGATCCAGATAAAGATAACCTGAATAACCTAACCTTTAGAGCGTCTACAGCCGATGCTTCACCGCACTGAGCTAGGAATCGGCTAATATGCTCATAAGTCGACACACCATCCTGTCCCGAAAATTTGGAGAAGTCCAGAACTTTAAATCGATTGGGAAGAGGAACTCTCTCAAACCACTCAGGGTAGGGCTGCCGATACAAGCTCCTAGTCTCTTTTGGTTTGAGGCCGAACTGTTCCCTCATTACGTCGGAAATCACGTCGGCCCACGGTCGTTGCTGAACTGCTCCTTGAGGCTGCTGTTGCATAGGCTCGAACTGACTGTACTGAGAAGCAAACTGAGGTTGGGTTGTCCTCCCTGGCTAATATTGGGCTTGTGGAGATGGAGGCTGATACTGATAATTTAAGTTGCTCCGATACTACTTTATATTAAGATATTAAAGCAAGTAAAATACTCAAGCAGAAGCCTAATATACTTAGATGCGACCAGATCTTGATATAAAGGGTAGATTTAACATGTCAATGAAGCATATAGAGAAAATATAGTTAAATCAAATAAGATCGGCTGAAACTCTGATGCTACCCTAATCGGCAACAAGAAGGCAGGCTAGAGATTGATATTCTAAACACGACTGAATAGATCAAACTCAACTGATGCAGCATTAAGTATGAAAAGAAGAACAATATCTAGACAATCAAGCCGCTGGAAGTTTCATAGAGTGGTGGATATCTCATATAATCTAAACCAACATCGATATTTAACCTAATCGGCTGCCCTCTATTAGCAGATGTTAGCGGATTGTAGGTTAGATGACGATATTGTTAGAGATTATATAAGATATATGATAACTCGACGAATTACATAAAAAAGATTAGAGCATCATAAAGATGGAAGCACTAATCCCAAGAATATAAGCCGTCATAACAAGTTTTACCTTTTGTTGAAGATCGAAACCGATGCAGCTCAACCCGAAAGCAAGAACTCGTCGAAACAAAACTAAAGCAAAAGGGTGGCAATGCGCCGAAATTGTATTGAACGTGTGTGTTAAAAGTTACATAGGGCTCGGGGTCTATTTATACCCGAGAATTACAAGATATGCCCATACTAGACATGACTATTATCTCTAACAAACTCTAAGATACCATAAGTCTTTGCGGCAGACTTTTGCCCACATTTATCTATAAGGAATTTACATAAAATATCCTAATTAATAGATACAATTGCCTTCCCAGGACTCTATCCGTTTGTGACAATCATCTTGAAGCACATTAACTTGAACCCGATGTCGTACACAAGTCGTATTGTCGGAATCGGCTGAATCACTTAACCTAGTCTGACCAAGACTTAGCCGATCTTAATCGTAGCTGATCCGGACTCCAGCCGATTCTTACTCTGTTTCCACGACAATCCTTATCTTTGATTCCGCTTCGATCCCATCTTCCTCTCCGATGCTGATATTACCAAATTTGGTTGTTAACACTATTTAGCTCTCAACTTCCTTGAAATTGTTCTTGCAGGTGTTAGCCGATCTATTCTCTTTTGACATCAAGGACTACTTCGATGAGACAAAAGAAGATACCACAAGCAAAGCCTTAGCCCCCTTATCCGATGATGTGAAGAGAACTCTTGATGATATCTCTCATCGGATGGAAGCATCATCACTAGACAGTTTGGTGGTAGACTGTGGGCCTATCAGGACTCGGCTTCATGAGGTTCAAGCTCTGATCCCAGATGAGCTAGCCGATGTCCTTACTCCAGCTGTCTATCTTAAGCAACAACAATTCAAGCTGGAGAAGGCCAAGCTGAGACTAGCCGAGCGTCGGGAGCGCAAAGACATCGAGGCCACAATCCAGGCTAATCGGCAGCTTGTTCATGAAGAAAAGGCCAAGCTTGATCAGTTATCTGAGGGCCCGATCAAATCCAATATTGATCGACTTGAAGCTCGCAAGATTGAACTCTTGGCACAACTTCAAGAATGCAACACCGAGCTGGACATGGAACATAAAAAGCTAGCCGATCTCCCACAAGCTGTCGAAGAACAGAAGGCAAGACTAAAATCGGCTATCAAGAATGTCGCGGATATGACCAAGTCCCTAAAAGTCATCCCTGGAACCGATGCTCAAGATGCCCAAGCCATCGAAGAAGTAGAACAAATTAGGCAAAGAGCTATATCGGCTATCCAACGATACTTGTCTCAGTGACATTCTGTAATAAGGCTTAGCACATTTTGTAATCGGCTAAGATGATTCTGTAACTAGTCTTGACAAACCTTGTGCCGATTAATATAACTCCATGCTTTTTGCTTAAAAATTTTCCAAATTTGCAACTTGTGAATATATGTGCCCCCTACTTTTGCAATGACAAAGGCATTGATAAAATTAAAAAATTGAACTAAGAGCGATATACCAATATCGGCCATTGTACATCGGCAAAATACAACCGATTACAGTTTAAAAACAACTAAGGGCGATATAATAATATCGGCCATCTCAAGGCGATGCGAATACATGAGACGATGGATTACACTAGCTGTGATGGCGAGGTTAGTTGTTAGGTATTCTTGAATTATGAATAGAAGAAGCGCCGTCCTTGTTTTTGAGTATATTGTCCTTTGTCCTTGCATCATATATGGGTGTTCGCTTAGATGATGCAAGCATGTCGGCTAGACCGCCCGTCTATTTGTCTTCAGAATCCCAACTTATCATTGTATTGAATTTTGTAATTCAGATTGTTTTTGTCCGTCCTTGAATCCAGAGCGCAGCCACCATCACCCGGAGCGTGGTAATTTGGCACACCGCCACCCGCGCTCAGCGGCGCGCCAGCGCCCCGTAGCAGCGGGCGACAGCTAGGGGCATCGAGCAGCGGGCGACGGGCCGACGGCTAGGGTGGCTAGGGGCGACGGCTGGGGGCACCGGTTGGGGCAGCTACGGGCGACAGCTAGGGCGGCTGCAGGCGATGGCTAGGGGCGCCGGCGGTGGGCTGCGTCAGGGCGGCGACCGACATCGAGGCGGCGACTGGCGACTTGGCGAGATGGCGATTTTTTTTCGATCTGGATGCGGTGCGGCGCAATGAGGGGAGACGGAGGGGGAAGAGAACGGCGATTTAGAGTTAAGGGAGAAAATCACGTCAAACTTTTTTTTGGCCGAAATATTTGACCGGACCTCACTTACAATCGGAACCCACCGAAATGTCCAAAATTTCCAAAATTTACAACCCAGTGGTGGGGAACTTGGCGAATGAGAAGGCTGGCCCAAATGCCGACCCCAACGATTCTGAGACCTGCAGGACAATCCAACAGCTCAAAAATAAACGATGTGTAAGTTTTGTAGTAAATAATTGCTGTAGTGGGTCGATATATTCTTTTTATGGAAACGCATGCACAGTAGAGGAAAAGTATTTTCTGAGTTCACGCGTCCCAAGCCAGATATCCAATCAAGGCTTTCATCGCTAGTCATCTATATCAGTCAGTCAACATTGGCAGATATCCAACTCCGCGTCCGTCCAGCTCTGCTTCCTACACAACCCCCTTCAGGACTCTCTCCCCGTCAGTCAAAACATGGCTGCCCTGCTGCAGCTGGCCATGTCCGTGGCCGCTGTTCCCCACCTCCCGGAGGAGGAGACCACGCCAAGCGTGGACGTGGAAATCGCCTCCCCAGATCAGCAGCATCTAGCTGCTGCTGCTGCACCGTCGATGGCCGTATTTCCTCCGGCGGCCGACGAGGAGGAGGAGGAGGAGGCGGTGGCGGTGTTGCTGTCCGGTGAGTTCTTCACGTGCTGGTCTTCGCTGTCGGAGTCGACGGATGATGAGACGACGAGGAGGACGACCACCGAGTCCATGTTCTACATCCCGACGAACGGGAGTAATGATGTTGGGAGGAGGAGGAGGAAGGTCCGGTCCTGGAGTCGGGGGAGCTTCCTGGGACGTGGATCCTTTGGGATGGTGTTCGAGGGGATCACCAAGTAAGTAACAAGTCCTACTCATCTAATTAGAAGTAACTTTGGATCCATCATTTCTATTCCCTCCATTTCATCTGTTTACTTTCTGCTATGATGCTACCATCTATTTCTACTGCCATCTTAGTTGACAGTAGTAGAAACGTAAAGAGATGTAACTGTCAAAAAAAAAAAAAAAAGGCATTGAGAGGTAAAATCGTCATTTAGCATGAACTAAATCTAGCAGTTATAAAGCTAAGTGAAATGCTCTTCCTCTCAATTACTGTCCTGGGGATCAGTTTATAATTTAACCTCGTTATTAAATATCATTCCTCGGTATCATTAACGTGTTTGGATTTTCTATAATGTTTTTTTCTTGTTTGGTTTCAATGGTGATTTCGGGGCTAATTTTCTAACAGATACTCCGTGGAGCGAGATGCTCAGATCTGAGCGAGCGATTTTTTTCATAGCTTTTTACCATTCATAAGGATATACCACCAATTGCTAGCTACCAAGAGGTAAAAAAAAAATCTAACAGTTGATTAGGCAAGGCATAGGTACGATGGGGCTAACATTTTTCCTGTTCCATCTCAGCGCCACGATTCGCCACTGACTCCACTCAGTGGCACCACCTACTCACCTAGTGCCTCGCTGTAATTCCCCATCATCCCTCCCCTTTTCGTGAGCGCATACATAAATTCGTCTTCCCAATGGATCGATCAGAGTCTGCAGTGTCCTGAATTCGTTATTGGTGCCGCTAGAAGCTTGTTTCGTTGGATATGGAATACATAACTATTGGGGAGCAAGAAGAGCATGCCGATGTTGGGCATTGACATCGTCCAACTCCAGCATCGGTGGCGTCCACGCTGTCACGGAGGCGATGACCTGGGGATTTCAATGGGTATCGGCGTCAATGGTGGCCGTCCGGATCCGCGTCTCGGAATCTATCCATAGCGGGGCTTTTGATTTCACCGAGCACGTGAACGATTTAGGCAGCTACCGGTAGGGCATCAGCACCAAATGCAGTGACAAGCTAGTATTAGGCCAGATTTGAGGCGTCCTAACTAATTTTCGATTTACAGCGGTGTCGATGTGTGCCTAATCCCGCCACGGATAAACCGATAGAAGCCAGAGTGTATATGTGAAAGTGTAGTTTTACCCTACAACTAACACACGAAGGCACGAGACATTTGCTTAGCTCTCGTACAGTTATACTGCAGGTCCTATCAATCGGATTTAGAGTGTGCCACTTAGTTATCATGTAACTAACGAAAATACATAGAACAGTGAATTAATCAAATAACTTAAATAATCAAATACCGATAGAGTTAGGGTCATTGGCTACTTGACCAATGGAATAGTGAATTAATCAAATAACGTAACTAAAATGCATAGCCATCGACTGGTACGGAAACTGAACATAACCAATCATGAATAACTCTTTATTTAAAACAACCTTGATAGTTGGGACCAAACCATTTTTTTTTGGAAGGCACTGTAGGGGAAGCCCCCACAGTTAAATAGCTTTATTATAGAAAATAAATTACAAAAGATATAACCAATTCAAAAGGGACTATCTCTCAGAAACATTTAGTCTAAAAACTAAAAGGGAAAGATCACTCTTAAAGAGAGCTTTCCAAGAAGAAATTGAGGGTGCTAAATTCTAGAAAATCAGGGAGTTCCTCTGTTTCCAAATATTCCAGGCTGCATAAAAGAATTTTCACCATAAAGTGCGTAGACTTATAAGAATTCATTGTCTGATGCAGCATATCTATGAAGGCAAGAGAAATATCCCAGACAATTCCAAACTATGTCCAGCAATCAGCACTAAAAGGACATTAAAAAAATAGATGAAAGGTGGTTTCTCTTGCACAGGTGGAGCAAAGGACACAAGTTAGATCCGAATTATTGGGAGGGCAATGCCTTCTGTTAAGCATGTCATAAGTATTGAGTCGATCAATTAACAGGAGCCATCCAAAAACTTTAACCTTCATAGCACACTTACTCTTCCAGATCCAAGCTAGATAACTAGGCGCATGTATATGCATGAAATTAATGTCATATATTTTCTTGGAAGAGAACAAACCATTTCCCCAAACATAAGACCAGACATCATTCTCATCAGATAATTGATCTAAAGGATCAGCTGCAGACATTGTATCATACTCATGGAAGGCTTGCTCAGACAGAGGGAGATTAAAACGCTGCGAAATACTCTTGGAAGAGGTTAAACTCACTGAATCCTTCAAAGAAACAGCATAAGAGTGAATCCTTGGGTACATTACTGACCTGACTTTATTATTCCAGAAATCATCCCAAAACAGACAAGTCTTTCCATCCCCAACCTTACAGGTGGACAATCCCCTAAAAATGTCTGCAAATTGTAGAACATCTTTCCACCAAAAAGACCCTCTAGGGCGATCAGCATGAGGAACTTTATTAATATAATAAGTGGACCAGATCAAGCTAACCCAAGGTATTGAGAGCCTATTATAAAATTTGTGCATATTTTTCATTAAAAGAGCATTATTATGCAGCCTCAGGTTAATGACTCCTAGACCTCCTCTACTTTTAGGTTGACAAACCCTTTCCCAAAGAACCAAAGATTTCCTGCTAGAATTAATATCAGTTCCTCTCCATAAACAATTTCTTCTAGCTCTATCAATGTTTTCAATTATTGACTTTGGAAGGGAAAGAGAGCACATATAGTAAGTTGGGAGGGAAGATAAAACTGAATTGACCATAGTTAATCTATCTCCATAAGACAGAAGAGCAGAAGTAGCAGACAATCTTCTCTCAACCCTATCAACTAAGGGGGCAAAATCAATTATCTTTGGCCTAGTTGTTCCCAAAGGCAGACCTAAATAGGTGAAGGGTAAAGTGCCCACTGAGCAACCAAACATCTTGGACAAATGCTGCACCTTTTCTATATCCACATTCAGAGGAATCATCCATGACTTACTGTAGTTAATCTTCAAACCGGTAGAATCTGCATAAGAGTTGAGAATAACCTTCAAACAGAAAAGCTCTTTTGAGGAAGCTGTCAAGAAAAGGAGAGTATCGTCTGCATACTGTACAACTGGAAAGCCATTATCAGGAGTTGGGATTGGAATAGTCAAAACACCCTGAGAATAAGCTTTGTTGACAACAGACTGTAGTAAATCAGCACCTAGCACAAATAAAAGAGGTGATAATGGATCCCCTTGCCTTACACCCCTTTTGCAATAAAAATTCCTTCCAAGAACCCCATTTAGAAGAACTGAAGAAGATGCTGAAGAAAAGATCAAATCAATCCAATTCAACCACTTTGAATCAAAACCTTTTTGTCTCATGATGTCCAAAATAGTAGAGTGCTCTATAGTATAAAAAGCTTTCTCAAAGTCCAACTTCAACAGCACTATCTCCCTTTTTGATTGTTGGCACTTGTGTAAGTACTCAAAAGACCAAGAGAGACAATCCTGTATTGTCCTGGCTTTGATGAAACCATATTGGTTTTGATGGATGAGTTCTGTAATTACAGACTGAAGCCTATCAGCAAGAACCTTTGTTAAAAGCTTGAGAGCCACACTTTGGAGAGAAATCGGTCTGTATTCATTAACCCTCTCAGGTGTTGATTTTTTGGGAACAAGAGTAATGAAAGATCTATTTAAACTTTCCAAAGCTAAGTTACCTTCACAAAACTGGGACCAAACCATTGAAACTAACAAAGGATGACTTAGACCCTGTTTGATTCAACTTAGGATTATTATAATCTGGATTATTAGGAGTAAGCTGAAACAAACAAATAGATTATCATGCTAGATTATCATAATCTATAAGCCAGATTAGTATAATCTAATAATCTCCTCTGAATGAGCTTTTTCCAGATTATTGAGTGGCTAAAGACCCACTACCCTTAATGCCTCTAATAATCCAGAGAAACAAACAACTCGCAGCTTATTCTATGTCAGCTTATTATAATTCAGCTTAGAGTAATCTGATTTAATAATCTAGATTACAATAATCTTAAGCTGAAACAAACAGGGCCTAGTTACTGATTTTACCGATGTGAACATAAGACGGTGCCATACTTTTCAAGACTATAAAAAATGACTCATTGGCTAGAATTAAACTCCGATGAAACGTTGTATAAAACATATCGGCTTTCAAGAATTAAACATATCTAGCCGATAGATCGGTCCTAAATGTGTCAGGGTTACGGGTTAGGTATACCCTTTACCCTTTGACGTACGTCGCATACCGATGTAGTATACCCACACGTAGACGGATACTCTCCGCGTATATTAAGGAAACCCCTCACGGAGTTTACAAATGGAAAGAGTCCTACTCGGACAAGACTGGGTCATCAATGTATCGGGTAAGGTTTGATGTTTCCGAGTTCTACTTGGAAACCGCCTAACCTGTGATATAAAAGGGACCCCCCGGGAGGACCTAAGGCATTGAATCTCAGAGCCAACACAACCCACACAGCCTACGAAGTCGGAGCCTGCAAGGAGCCAAATCGCCAGGGATCGTAGTCGAGCCAACTCGACCACGATCTCGCCGGATTCGTCAAGTTCCACTGTTCCCTTTGTAACCTGTGTTTTCCATCATATAATCCCACATCAACTGGATTAGGGCTATTACCTATAAAGGGGCCTGAACCAGTATAATCTTTGTCTTTTGTCTGCTTGATGTCGTATTACGTAGATCCTTGTACCAACGTACCCCAATACCCTCTATATCCGGTTTACGGGTATCACCCGTCGACAGTGGCATGCCAGGTAGGGGCACTTGGTACTCAAGGTTCTACTACTATGTCATCCAGCCTCGTCAACAACAGCGTCAACACCAACCTCAGCCAAGTATTCCCTGCTTCAACGATGCTAGTGTGGACTCAAGTCGGCGAAATCGTCTTCCCGGTTTACACCACAATGCCGATCTCAACCTGTCCACTAATGACTGGAAACGAGAACGCAGTGGCTACAAACCGAGACGACTCCATGTCGAAAGATACTCCCACCGAGGCGAAGAACGGAATATCGACGACATCCGAGCTCGAGAAGGATTCTAATGCGGCCAAACCTTGTCGTTCCGACATGAACCGCGAGCCGACGAAGATGACTTCCGAAGCAACAAGGTCCTGGTGTCCTATCCACAAAACCAGCAAACACACTTTGCAAACCTGCTGGGTTTTCCTCAACGTCCGCGCTGAAATTCGTATCTGCAAAGAGCGTGGAATTCAGCGTATTTCTCCAACTCGTGATGTCTATTGTCCTATTCACAAGACAAAGAATCACGACCTCTCAAGCTGCAAGGTCCTTCTCAGCGCCATGAAAGCGCCACCTCCTAAGGTCCAACAGTCACACATCCCCATCAGGGATAAAGACAAGGAACGAGGAGCGACGCCAACTTCAGATCGATTTGTTGGGGTAATCGATATCGATCCTCACGAACCATCAGTCTTGCACCTTCTCGAAGACTATGGATCATCGACAACGAGCGCACTGCGGGAGGTATTGGCTATCGATGATGTCGGCACATCAGCGCGCACCAATGCAGAAGCAGAGAATCAATTGGCCACCCCGGCCCAGCACATCAGAGCCGTCAACGCTATACTGAGGGAAACCCCCTACGATCCTGTTCTGAACGACGATCTCGCTCGTTGGACAGCACGACTACGGGAATCAGTGACTAACCTCAGCAACACGTTCGAAGAGGCCGCCGCCGCAGCGCACCCGGAGCAGCCACCAACTGGCGATGCCAATGGTGAAGAGCCTGAATGGAGGGAATCGCCTCATTGAGCCACCCCTCCACCTTGCGGCACTAGCGATCTCCGAGATCACGTCAACGGCCGCCGAGAGGCACGACGCACACGAGACAATGAAAATCGTTCCCGGCGTCATGTCTCTTCACGGCGCCATAATGACGAAGATCGAGGAGACCGCTCAAACGAAGACCGAGGCCGTGATAACCGCCACAACCGCCACGATCACAACGATCGCGAACGGCGGGTGCCAGACGATACTGGTTGAGGACGTCGCCATAACGACGACGATGATGGAGACTGGCGCCGGGACAACAGCGGGAGACGACGACAGGATTCTCGAGATCCAGGCCGACATCCTCGTGATCGTACGCCGGAACCAAGCGACCCATCGTCATCGTCATCATCCTCGGCTTCCTCATCATCAGACAGACATCCACGAAGGACACACAATCGCCGGCAACCCACCGCCCCAGCGCTGGGTGTAGGGCTTTCAGTCGTTCCCTGCGTGATGTCTGATGGCCTGAGAGATTCCGACCCGGAGCAATAGAAAAGTACGATGGGAGCACCGACTCAGAAGAGTTCCTTCAAGTCTACTTCACAGTACTCTACGCTGCCGGAGCAGACGACAACGCATTGGCGAATTATTTGCCAACTGCGTTAAAAGGCTCTGCACGTTCATGGCTGATGCATCTTCTGCCCTACTCAATCTCTTCGTGGGCAGACCTGTGGCAACAGTTCGTCGCCAACTTCCAAGGAACCTACAAGCGCCACGCGATCGAAGACGACCTACACGCGTTGACACAGAACTCGGGTGAATCCTTGAGGGAATATGTTCGGCGCTTCAACGAGTGCAGAAATACAATCCCCGAAATCACCGACGCTTCTGTAATTCACGCCTTCAAATCCGGTGTCAGAGATTGCTATACTACCTAGGAGTTGGCGACAAGACGCATCACAACCACTCGATGATTGTTCGAGATTGTTGAGCGATGCGCCCACGCAGATGATGCGCTAAGATGCAAGAATGATAAGCCGAAGACCGGGGGAGAGAAGAAACCAGCCACGGACGCACCTGAGTCAAGCAAGAAGAAAAATCGCAAAACTGGGAAAAGGAAATCTCAAGCGGAAGTCCTCGCAGCAGAATACGCGAACCCTCCCAAGCGCCCAGACCCACAAAGTGGTGACACAAAGAAAGCATGGTGCCCCATACACAAGACGGACAGACACTGTCTGGAAGATTGCCTTGTTTTCAAAAAAATCGCTCGAGAAGCACATTGCATCTGAAAAAGGCAAACGAGTATGCGTGGTCGAAAAGGATGCGGAGGCGGCTCCCCAGGAATCGGATTTAGCATATCCAGACTCTGACCTCCACGTTTTACACATCTTCGGAGGTTCCACAACGTACTCCTCTAAGCGAGAGTACAAGAAAGTGGAACGCGAAGTCTGTTTGTCATGACCGGAAATAACCCAACGGGCGTTCCTTATGTGCGTGTATTATTCCTTGTCCCAGGAGGCAAGGTACACCAAAAGTTGATATATTTCAAAGTTTATCAAGCGGAAGCGTAAATAGTTAATTTATTACATGGGCGGCGAAGGCCTAGCACACAGGAAGACAAATAAAAAACAGCGGAAGACTAGGGCGACGACCACAGGCGCTTGACAGCAGGCACGAGCTAGACACCAAAGCCTTCATCTTCTAGGAACTCCTCTTCTGGGTTTGGAAAAAATTGAGCAAGACTGAGTACAACCACCGTACTCAACAAGACACACCCACAAGTGCAGAATAAATGCAAGGGAGTACAAGGGAGTTATAATATAAGGGGTTAGGGTTTGCAGTAAACAGCATTAAAAGACACTTAGTTGCTCAAAGCTATTTTGTAAATACGATCCTAGAGCTATACAAGATTATTAATCAAGGCCGTGAACCCACACGAACCTGCCTTAACCCAAGGCCTACGATGATTTAGACCGAATTGGCAACCTGACCCTAGGTCCCAGCTCGTCCCAAGCCAACCCAGGCCAACCATTCCACATTTTAGTTGTTAAGCAGATTTTAAGAATTAAAACACTAACTTGGGTACATTGCTCGGCTTGCTCAAAACCGAGGGCGCGGCTATTCGAATAGGTTATACTCTGATCAGAGGTGTACATCTTTACCCACAAGACACATCTTCCTCACGTGTAACCACATGCCACATACCACCACGGTATATGGACGGAAGACGTGACATAGTTTCCAACCCATCCTAGCCATAGACAAGAGTACCAACCCAACCCCACCTACGGCCGGAACCTCTGGGACAGGTAGGCAGGACTGAGCCCCTAGCAGCAGGACACCAGCCCTGTGCCATGACATCTCGACTACCGAGCCGCAGCTCGTGTAGCCTTCATTTGCCCTAGAGATGTCCATCGACCCCCGACTTCGTCCATCTCCATCTGTGTACTTTTGTTTATAACCAGACTGAGCCTCAAACTAAGCCTTACCCACTAGACATGTGGAAGTACGGTAGTGCTTTGCAATAGAGGCCCGAAGACCGGTCCTTATGTGGCCGAGGTGCTACTATCAAAACCATGCACCCCGAGCCCAGCCTAAAACCATTTTGAGGATTTTGAATAGAGGGGGAGGTGTGAATCCAATTCCACCATAATCCAACCATTCCATAGTGTCCAGGTGATATGAATATTCCCAAAGTCTAGAGTTGTAAAACCACCTAATGTTGCCTAATTAACCAACGAAGCATCTACCTAAATTCATACTAGTGGTGCCATGAATAGAGTATACACTAGTTGGGGTTTTATTTATTCTAGGGTGAACAAGGTAATAATAACAATAGCAATAATAAGGTCATAACAAAGGTAAATAGGCATGGCTAAATAAAACAGTGATAACGCGGGAATTTAAATAAAGCGATAATGCATTAATTTAAATCAAAATAATTTTATAAACTGGGATTCAATATATTCAAGGATGATGTGACTTGCCTTGCTGGCTTTCCCAAACGTCGGCTTCAACCTCCACGTAGAGCGGATCTTTCGAAGCTGCAGCGTCTACACGACCAACGGAAAAGAAAAGGGCTTTTACGCTAATAAACTCCACATAACAAGCAGGAATAAAGCACAAAAATGGGTTCTTGATTTCTTAAGGAAAAATTAGAGACTTGAATGGTCCAATTCCGAGTTCAAATGGTCAAGTTATGGCCATTTGAAGTTTAAATGCTCTTTAAATGAATATTTACGAATTTCTTCATTTAAATTTTAATTTAAAAGGGATTTATTGCGTCAGCCGAGGGGGAGGGGCGCGCGGACCGGGTCCACGGGAGTGGGGCCCACGCGGCAGCCTCACGGTCCACGGTGGACCGGGCGCACCCGGGCTCACACCGGCCGGCGCCGTGGGCCCCACGCGTCAGCCGCACCTGAGGGCGCGGTCGGTGAGAGGTGGCGCACCCGCGCCCCTATGGTCGCCGATGGTGGCCATGGCACGGCGGAGAGGCGGCCGAGAGAGGGGAAGGGAAGGGGGAAACGAGGCGGCGGTCCGCGGCTCACCCCGAGGCAACGGCGGCTACGGAGGAGGCGGCCGGAGCGGAGGGAGGCGGTGGCGCGGCTCGGGTCGACGGGGACGGCGGCGCTCCGGCGGTCGGCGACCGAAACGGAGAGGTGGACGAGGTCGGCAAGGATGCGGCGAAGCCGAAGGAGGCGGCGCCGAGGTGGGAGGCGGTCCGGGGCGACGACGGCGGAGAGAGAGAGCGACGTCGCGAGCTCGAATCCAGCGAGGAGGAAGGGTGGCGAGAGGCGGAAACGGACGGTAGAAGCGCGGGGAGGGTTTAAATAGGGCCGGGGCGAGAGAGGGCGGCCGGAGGGGAAGGAAACCAGCGCGGCGTTCTCGGGCTCCATCAATGGCGCCGGCAGGATTAGGGGAGGGGTTTTCAAACTTATCCAAGGGAGAGAGGGAGGGAAAATTGGGGGGAAAGGGAGAGGGAATCGGGGGAAACATTTCCCCCCACTTTAATGCACGCAGGGACGGCGGGATGCGGCGGATTTGGCGGCGGTGGCGGCGCTTGGCGCGGGCGGGGCGGCGGGAGCGGCGGGAGGACGGGGATGACGGGTGGGCCCCACCCGTCAGCGAGGGTGGTGGGCGGGCCCGCACGTCAGCGGCGCGCGCGCGGGGAGACTCTGGATGGGCCGCGGGGAGAGAAGGGAGAGAGGGAGGGAAATGGGCCGAACCGGCCCAAGAGAGGGAGGGGACTTTTTTTAGGGTTTTTCTTTTTATAAAACCTTTTTAACTTTGTTTATTTCTTAACAATTATTATTTGTGCTCTGAAAATTCCACTAAAATTTATTTACACATTTTAGCCTTTTAGGAAATATACAAAAATCCTCTAAGCCTTATTTGGTCTTTTACTTTGCACATTTTTATTTTTGGAGGCTTTCACACGGATTTTAATTATTCTAGGCATAATTTAAAGGATATATTTTAGGGTCTTTTTGGGACGCGACAAACCTACCCCCTTAAACGGAATCTCGACCCCGAGATTCAGAAGAACTGGCGAAGAGATCGGGATGGGCTGCCTTCAGCTCGTCTTCACGCTCCCAAGTAGCTTCTTCCTCGGCGTGGTTGCTCCATTGGACCTTGTAAAAACGGATTACCCGATTCCTGGTCCTGCGCTCCATGGTGTCCAGGATTTTCACAGGTCTCTCTACGTAGGTCAAGTCTTCGCGAACTTCAATCTGCTCTGAGTCGGCCTGCTCGGACGGCACTCGAAGACATTTCTTGAGTTGCGACAAATGGAACACATCATGCACGTTGCCCAAGGAGGCGGGCAGCTCCAACTGGTAAGCAACTTCTCCGCGTCGAGCAATGATGCGGAAAGGACCCACGAACCGAGGTGCAAGCTTCCCTTTCGTCTGGAACCTGTGTACACCTCGCAATGGCGTGACCCGAAGGTACACAAAATTGTCCACTGCGAATTCTAGGTTGCGGCGTCGGTTGTCTGCATAACTTTTCTGCCGAGACTGTGCCACCTTTAGATTCTCCTGAATGGTTCTGACTTTAACTTCAGCTTCTCTCAGGATATCGGTCCCGAACACTTGGCTTTCCCCAACTTGGTCCCACAATAGCGGTGTCTGGCATTTGCGGCCATACAACGCTTCATAGGGTGCCATTTGTATGCTGGCTTGGTAGCTGTTATTGTAGGAGAACTCGGCATAGGGGAGACTCTTATCCCAGGTCTTCCCAAAATTTAGGACACATGCGCGAAGTATATCTTCGAGGATCTGGTTCAGACGCTCGGTCTGCCCATCTGTCTGTGGGTGATACGCGGTGCTGAAATTTAATCGGGTACCCAACTCTTCTTGGAGTTTCTTCCAGAAATGAGAGGTGAACTGGCTTCCCCGATCAGATACAATTTACTTAGGAACGCCATGGAGACTCACGATCCTAGCGAAGTAAAGTTCGGCTAGTTTGTTCCCTCCATAGGTGGTCTTCACAGGAATAAACCGAGCTACCTTGGTTAGTCGGTCCACGACTACCCATATAGAATCATATCCGCCTTGGGTTTTTGGAAGTCCGGTGATGAAATCCATCCCAATTTCATCCCATTTCCATTCTGGTACTTGGAGAGGTTGGAGAAGTC